CCTATTCACCTGAAGGTCTAATAGGCACCTTAAAATTTAATGCTACAAAACTGAGTTTCTAATATTCTTCCTCTAATGTGTTTTTCTACAATCTCTCCTTCATTTCAGGATAACTCCATGCTTACAGTTATTATGGAAAAAATGGAATATTCTTTGTCTATTCCTTCCCTATATCTAATCAACATGTCTTTCAAAATATACCAAAGCTGTGATCATTTCTCACCTATTTTATACTACCCCACAGGTCTGTGCCACTAATATCTCCCAACCAGAACATTATAATGTGCAGTCTTGCTCTGTCCTTGCCCTGTTCAGTCAATTCTCAACCCAAAATACAGAGATTCTGTTTTTTAAAAGGCAGAAGTCATAGTTGGGCATAGTGATAGATGTCTGTAATCACAGTACTCTGGGAGGCTGAAGCAAGAAGATCACAAGTTGGAGCCCAGCCTGGGAAACTCAGTGACTTAGCAAGACCCTGTCTCAAATTACAAATAAAAAGGTCTGAGGCTGTAGCTGAGTGTGAAGGACCTAGGTCCCCAGCACTGCCCCTACCCTCAAAAAAGAGAAGTCAATTTCCTCGGTTCAAAAACATCTCTTCTCTCCCTGTCTCAACTCGCAGCAAAGGCCAGAGTGTTCACAATCCAGAGGGTCCTACTGCCCTTGCTTACACTACTTAGGTCACACTGGCTTCAACAACCAAACACAGTCCTCCAGTGCCTCTGCCTGTGTCTGCAACTCTCTGTTCACAGGTATTTACTTGGCTCACATCTTCATCTCTTTCAAGTCTTTGCTGAATGAATGCAAAGGCTCCTCAATGAGGTCTTCCTGCCATGCCCTCATTTATTGTTTGCTTTATATCATGGTTCCCATCTATATGTTCTCCCAAAGCCTCATGCAGTTATAGGTGGGACTTTTCAGAGGTGGCTGGATCTAGAGTGTGTGACATTGGGATTTAGGCTGTATGACTATTAAATTAGTCCTCTGATTGGTCTGGCATAGTTCTGGGTGTGGATAATGGGAAGGACCACCCTAGGTATGAGTGTTACCCACCCTAAGGGCATATAACCTGGACAGAACATAAGGGATAGAAAGAGGATTGCTGCCATGGCTTGTCTCTGGCTGGCTGCTTGCTACTTCACTATTTTGCTGCCTTCCTGCCTTCTGCCCACCATGAACTGTTTCTCCTCTGTGGTGCCCCACTGTAATGCCACCCTGCCTTGGAGCCAGTCAATTATAAACTGAAACTTCTACAAACTGTTAAAATGAACTTTTTCTCTTTTAACTTTGAGTGTTGATATTTTGTTTCAGTACTGAGAATAGTAACTAAGAGACCTGGTAAGACTGAATTATAGAAGCCTACCTAGTCATAGGGATGATAAAAGAATTTACCAAGACCAAATAAAGATAACAACAGGAGTTTATTTAATACACTGTCAAGAGGGAGTGCGGCAAGATAATGGGAGATTTGTACCAGGAGGAGGGGCCGTGGTATTTTTTAAGGGAAAAGGGAAAGAGGGAGAAGAAATGTCAGTGAGGACATGGCCAGTGCCTGGACCCAAAGACATGAGAAGGAATGTTAGGGATGATGAAGTGTCAGGTTGCTAAAACATTTCTGTGCATAGAGCACTGGACTTTGATTTGGGCCAAATGGAGGCCAAAATGGGTTACTTCCGGTTACACAGCACTGTTTTTGCTGTTCTCTCCCCCTACCCATCAACCGCTAGAAGGTTGTAATATTTAGAAACTTATTCTGTTTATCATCTGTCTCCTTCAAATACAAGTGCTAGAAGGCTTCTTTGTTATCTCCCCAGTAGATGGGACAGTGCCAGATACACAGTAAGCACTCAGCTGTTGTCACAAATTTTGTACTATCAAGCTATATAATGTTTTATTATTTAATTCTGGATATTTTATATTACCAATATGATTTAATTTTTGCAAAATTTAAAAATAAATTTTGTAGCAGCACTCTGGAAGGCTAAGGCAGGTGGATTCCAAGTTTTAGCCCAGCTTGGGCAATTTTGTGACTTAGCAAGACCTTGTTCAAAATAAAAAATAAAAAAGGGACAGGATGTAGCTCAGTGCAAAGGCTCTAGGTTCAATCCCTAGAATTGCCAAAATCTTCTTAAAAGAGTATTAGGAAAATATAAACTAAAGAAAAAACAGCATATTTTCACTAACCTGAGAAAATTATCCTGTATCTTCGAAGACCTTTTGGTGTCTTCCCCTTAGAATGACTATCATCCTGAATTTTATATTTACCATTCTCTTGAAGTTTATCTCCTTAAACATTATGCTTTTTATTTGTCCACTTTTAAAGACAAAAGAATGAAAACGTAAGAACAGACATACAGACATTTACAAAATAACACTGTCCATGTTTATGTTGTTATGTACAGCTTTAACTGACTCACCTCCACTACTGTACTGTTAAAAAGAATTTCTTTTCCAATTCAAAGGCATAAATATCACATGCACCTTTCAAATATGTAGTTTGCCTTTAAAGTTCAAGTCTTTTATTTCCTTGAAATTGTGTGAAGTAGAGCGGTCTGTTTAACTTTTTTCATCTGTACAATTATCTCATTAGAATTTCTTGAAAAGACTCCCCAGTACCACTGTATTAGTTACTTTTCTTATTACTGAGACAAAATACCCAACACTCAAAGTTAAAGGAGGAAAGGTTTATTTTGGCCCACAGTTTGTAGAGGTTTCAGTCCATAATCAGCTGGCTCCAAGGCAGGGTAGCGTGGCAGAGGGGCATCACACAGGAGAAACAGTTCATGGAGGGCAGAAGACAGAAGGCAGAAGGCACCAAGCTACAAAGGACAACAGCAGCTTCTCTTTAGCCCTTTGTATTCTATCTAGGCTAACCCCTAGTTAGGGCTAGCACTCACACCCAGAACTATGCCAAACCAATCAGTGGGCTAAATTAGTAACCACACCCGCTTAATCCTAGCATTACACTGAGAATCAGTCCCAGCATCATATCCTTGATCCCAGCAGCACACACCCTAGGTCTAGCCACCTCCAAAATGCCCCACCTATGACTGCATGAGGCTTTGGTGGTACATCTGGATACAAGTTGCAACAACCACAGACTTTCAGTGCCAGCACTGTCATATATCAAAGACTCACTATAAATATGTGAGTTTTTTCCTGAATTCTTTATTCTTTTTCATTGGTGTGTTTGTTTATTTCTTTGTGAATACCATGCAACCTTAATTCAAATTTCCCATTTTTATTCTTTAGGAGTGTTTTTACTATTGTTAATCCTTTGTTCTTGCACATAAAATTTAGGAGCATTTTTTTTCTGCACAAAAAATTAGTATTTTGCCCTTGTACTGAATGAATCTTTAGATTACCAATAAAAAAAATTATAATATTGAATTTTCCAACTCACGTACATGGCATCTCTCAATTTTTAGAACTCTTTTAAAAGTTCTAATAAAATATTGTCATTTTCTCTCAAAGGTCTTGCACATATTTTATTTAAGTAATTTATATTTTGATGCTTTTATTAAGTATAGCTTTTTGAATATTATATTTTAAATGTTTTTTGCTAAAGTATAGAAATGTAATTGATTTGTATACTGAACTTTCATAAACCATTATTATCTGTGTAGATTACTGGCTCTTTAACTTATGAGTCAATTAATTTCTAAAATGTATTTGTTAGCTGTCTTTTGTTAAACTTTTGACACTTATACTCTTAAAAAAATTTTTTTTAAAAAGAAAGCTACTTCAGAATATTTGACACTTCCTTTGTGAACTAATGTGCTTTCTATTTTTATAAGCTTTTTCATGTGTCCTGGAAATAAATGTGTTTCCTCTGTGGGATCTATAGTTCGATACATCTACATTAAATTAAAGTTAAATAGCATTTCTGGAAGTAATTTTTTTTTTTTTGCCAAAACTAATTTCATTTATTAAGCATACAGCTTAATTTAGAACTAAGTTTCTTTCAATTCAGTAACTCTCCAAAAATCTTGAATATGAATATATTATTCCTTTTTTGCCAAAGCAGGACTTGATGCTCAAAGGCCAATCTGTTCAAATTCCACACCAACAGCTAAAATTTGAACTTCAACCTGTTACTTTGTTTACAACACCAGGTTTCTAGAGTAAAAGCCAGGCCATTCTTTATTCCACCTCTCCTTCATCCCTAGTATCTACTGGAATGTGAGGCCTTTTAATTTTCATATCCCCCAAACTCTATGATTCATCTGACCTTTACTACTACTTCCATTTTCATGAAAATCAACAGTCAAAGAATATAAATGCTAGTGATAAGGAGCCAATGGAACCCCCTGTTTAAACCCTTTCGCCTACATTGCTTCATTATTCTTAAGACTCAGCAAAACTGGGAAGTATTAGAAATTAGAAAACTTGTTTTCAGAGCTTATATAACATATTTAAATACCCAGACAATGGCAGATATAGTTTTCTAGAAGCTAGGACTCTTTCTACAGTCCCGTGTTTATAAAAAGTATTTGAAATAAAGTTTTAAAAAAGTATCATCTATTGTAAAACATCAGACTAAAGCCAGATTCAAGGGAACAGTACTCTGAGGATCACCTCATTCAGCTTAATTTCCTCGCTTCGAAAAAACTTAGGCCCCAAGTGGTGGTGCACCTTGCTCAGTGAAAGGACTAGGATCTGGATTCTACTGGGAACACCGCCAATTACAGGCACTACGCCGGCGTCTCAAAATAAGGTCTCAAGTTATAAAGGATTGTAGCACAAGAGGTCGAGGGACATAATTTCATTTTAAAACAAAAACTCCATTGCCCAGTGGAATGGCAAATGTTATTACAGCGCTTCGATCATCGTCCTCGAATTGGGACTGAGCGGAGCGGAACGCTGGGGATGGTCAACAGCAAGGTGCTTCTTTGCAGGAAACATACTGGGACCGAGGAAATCCGGACCCACCCCAGGGTGAAAAGGAGGAAAGCCCGAAGCAGAGATCTGTGTCTGCTGGGGGTGAGGGCCAGCGTCGATACCTGTACTGCGTAACGGTTAGCGTAGACTCGGGCTGCGTCCCAAAGCCAGGCAAGTGCTGGTTTAGGTAGGCCTCCAGGGCTCTGTGGTCGAACTTGTGCTGGGGCAGCACCTCGGCGGTGTCGGGCTCTCTCCAAACGGCCTCTCTCTCCATGACTGCAACCGCCTCTGCACGACGCCCGCAAAGTGCCAAGGTCCTTAGGGCGGCGGGACCTCTAACCCAGGTCCGCCGCGCGAGGCGGGGCGGGGCCAGGCCCAGCCAATCACAGACGCTCCGGTGCCGTTGCTGAGCAACGGCGGCAGGCTGCGTCCGGAGATTCGGCCCGGATACCGGAAGCTCCCGGTGTGCGTTCCAATTCAGAATTTTCTCTGAGTCAGAGACTTCAACTTTAAAGACAGCAACGCCACAGTAGTCGCAACGGGCAAAGAAGGCTGCACACGCTTCTTCACCCTCAACCTTAAGGGCCCATCAGGCGGAAGGCGATAAGGTCCGGTTTCGAAAAGAGGCCGTGCGGCCCTCGAGCCCCGCAAGAACAGATCCCGGTGTTCGTTCCTTCCAGCCGCTTGCGTAGAAAGGCAGTGTCGCCGCCCGGCTGCTCTAACCGCTCGCGAGCCCGTTCTTCCCAGTGCCCGCTCTTTCCAGTGCCCGCTCTTCCCAGTGCCCGCTCCAGCGGACCCAGCCAGGAAGGAGGCGGAGAAGTGCGTTTGCGCCGGGGAGCCGTGCGGGCGACGCACCGGAAGCGGCCTTTCGGGGTGGCGGCCGTGACGGCGACGTGTCCGTCCGGAGGCTCTGGCGCCGCTTCCTTAGCAGTCGGGCTCGGCAGGCGGAGGCTGAGGCCTCCTGCGTCCCCTCGCGGGCTCGTTGGGCAGCGTGGGGCGGCGGCGGCGGCGGCCTGGGCTGGGGGCG